TTGGCTTATGGATCTAAGATTGGGCCCATCGCTAAAAATCTGCTATTTATCAATTTTATCTAGATGAACGCGTTATTGGGACGTTACTAATGGATATTTTTGGTTGCTATTGAAAATTTAGTCGATTGCTGAATTTATGTATGGGCCCAAATTAGGGACACTTAGGCCGACATTACCTGCATTTCCCCTATTTAAAATTTTGTGAAATCACTGGACGCGGATCCCACTCAGATGATTGCTACTGCATAGCGGAGGAAAAATCTATGTTCATCAAGTTCAAATCAGAAGATTCTTCGATGCTTCATGGCTAATTGCACAACTGTGAACAATTAATATTCCATTACCTGAGTACCTGATGGGCGACGACTCGTTGAATTCAAATCTGCGCCGAACGAAGTAACCGTCTCCATTGGTCTCGGTTCTGAGCCAATCGCTTCCAGTCGCCTTGGACGTTCAAGGACCCGATGTCCTCCTCAACTGCACAAAGCCAACGCGTGCGTGGCCAACCCCGAAGCCGACGTCCTCTTCCGGGTTCCCTGCTGAACATTGACTTCGCTTGACGCTCTTCCGGCATTCGTGCCACATGCCCAGCCCACTGTAGCCTGCCGTGTTTTATAAGCTTCACAATATCCATGCCGTTATATACTTGGTACAACTCGTGATTCATGCGACGCCGCCAGATGCCATTTTCCAGTTTACCGCCGAGTATTGTTCGCAGCACTTTACGCTCGAAGACACCGACAGCTCTTGGCCTCTTTCAATGCCCACGATTCGTGGCCATAAAGGGCTATCGGCAGAATCAACGTCTTGTACAGCGCGAATTTCGTTTTCGTTCGCAAGCTGTGGGACTTCAGCTGGCTACGCAACCCGTAGAAAGCCCTGTTCGCGGCTGCAATACGCCTTTTCACCTCGCGGGTAACATCATTATCGCACGTCACTAAAGTACCAAGATAAACAAATTCGTCCACAACTTCAAATTTTTCGCCATCTAGCACCACCTCCCTACCAACACCACTATTGCTCCCACGCTTTCTACCGGCGACCATGTACTTCGTTTTGGTAGAATTTATCGTGAGACCAATCCTCGCTGTCTCCCTCTTAAAAGGCGCGAACGTCTCTTCCACTGCTCTACGGTCGATTCCGATGATGTCGATGGACGACCAAGGAGCATGTGCGACTTTGTGATGATGGTACCGTTCCTCTGCACGCCAGCTCTCCTAATCGCTCCTTCGAGGGCGATATTGAATAGCAAGTTCGAAAGAGCATCTCCCTGCTTCAACCCATCTAAGGTCACGAACGAGGCCGAAATCTCGTCTGCAACCCGTACACATAATTTCGAACCATCCAGCGTTGCACGAATCAGCCTAATTAGTTTCGTCGGAAAACCGTTTTCTTGCATTATCTGCCATAGCTCGTTTCTCTTTACTGAATCGTACGCTGCCTTGAAATCTATGAACAGATGATGAGTCTGCAAGTTGTATTCCCGGAACTTCTCAAGGGTTTGACGCAGGGTAAACATTTGATCCGTCGTTGATCGACCCTCACGAAAACCAGCCTGGTATTCGCCGACGAAGGATTCCTCAAGCGGTCTCAGTCTGTTGAACAGAACACGTGATAATATTTTGTACGCCGAATTCAGAAGCGTGATTCCTCTGTAATTGGCGCACTTCAGTCTGTGTCCCTTTTTATAGAGGGGACAAACGAGACCATCTAACCAACTAGCGGACAATTCTTCCTCCTCCCATATCTTGAGAAGTATACGGTGGATCATCTGGTGCAGCTGCTCACTTCCGTGTTTGAGAAGTTCGGCCGGGAGCTCGTCCTTCTCCGCAGCCTTACTGTTTTTCAGCTCTCGTATCGCTTTTTTCACCTCTTCTAGCGTTGGTGGTTCCACAGCTTGACCATCGTCGTCGATGTGTGTTCTGTTTGTAGATGCTCTCTCATTCTCTCCGTTCAGCAACGTCTCGAAGTACTCCTTCCACCTGGCAGCCACCATCGTTTTATCTGTCAGCAGATTACCTTCACGGTCATAGCACATGACGGGAGACGGCGCTGTCTAACTCCTCACGCCATTGACAGTTGCGTAAAACCTTCGCATATCATTCTGCTCCATACTTTCTTGCGCCTCAGCAATCACGCGTTCCTCGTACTGCCTTTTTTTTTTCCTGCGATGGGTTCGTTTCTCGGCTGACATTGCTACCCTGTACCGCTCTCTGTTCTGACGGGTACCAGACACCAACATCCGGCTTCTGGCGACGTTATTCTCCTCTGTCACTCGCTGGCACTCCTCGTCAAACCACCCGTTCCGGAGGCGCCTCTGAGCTGTACCTATCACCTCTCGTGCTGTTGTGCTCACCGCTCCGTGGACAGCTTCCCACAGATTGTTGAGATTCTCGTTCACGTTGATTTCCGCTATCCGCTCATTCAGCTTCTGGTGGTACTCTGCAGCAACACCATCTACTGTCAAACGCTAGATGTTGAAACGCATCGATCTCCGGTTTCTCGAACTCGTAACGGTCGACAGACGCGCTCGAATTTTCGCGATAACGAGGTAGTGATCCGAGTCGATATTAGGACCCCTGAAGGTCCTGACATCTACGACATCCGAGAAATGCCGACCATCCACCAACACGTGGTCGATCTGGGAGCAAGTTTCGCCATTAGGGTGTCTCAAGGTGTGCTTTCGGATATCCTTGCGTGCAAAGTGGGTGCTACTGATGGCCATATCACGAGCAGCAGCGAAGTTTATCAGCTTCAGGCCATTATGCCCATGGAAAATCAGTCGAGGTTCACGTGTCGCCTGCGTGAGAGTTTACGACCTACCACCAGTAGTCCCGGATAGCGATCTAGCATTGGTGCTAGGGAAATACGGTGATGTAAAGCGTTTAGTACGGGAGAAATTTCCAGCTGCCTTGGGCCTTGATATGCTGACAGGTGTACGGGGAATTTACATGGACGTTAAGAAGGAGATTCCCAACTCGCTGCATTTCCTCAATCGGAATGGGAATCGGAATTTTATGATTACAAAATACCAAATTTTTGGAAGCACCTGCCGGAAAGTGAGACACTAGGTAAAATTGTTCAAAATAATGCAAGCATGCTCATTAGGGTGCTTCATTCTGAAAAAAGTGATGAATTTCTGATGGGCCACCCTCCAGTTCGATTCATAGCCCCAAAATATGAACCTGTGCAAAAATTGGTAAAGATTGATGAAGGTTTAGAGGTCGCGCCAATGATTTGAAATTTGTATGGGAATTACTATGGAAGAATTTAAAAAATCGCTTATATCGCTATAACTTTGCTTCTACTTGTCCAAATGTCGAAAAAATTTAGTATGTTATTGCTATGGCAATAAACAAAAAGCCTACAGTTGCTACGCTCAGTTTTGCAGCGTATCAAGAATTATAAAAATGTGAAAAAATGGCAAAATAGGGTAAATTGACAGCTGAATATGTACAAGGCAACAACGCCAATTTCATCGCAACAACAACAGGCTTGTTGATCATTGTCATGACAACCACATATTTTTTTTTTTCAACGTTTGGACAACTACAACCAAAGTTAGAGCAATGTAAACGAAAATCAATAATTTCCCATACTAATTCACCAAAATCTCCATACAAAATCCAAATCATTGGCGCGACCTCTAAACCTTCATCAATCTTTACCATTTTTTGCACAGGTTCATATTTTGGGGCTATGAATCGAACTGGAGGGTGGCCTATCAAAAATTCATCACTTTTTTCAAAATGAAACACCCTAATGCTCATGTGATTTTATGTGTCGCATGATGATTTTTCGTTGAAGAAAAATTCCGGCTTGTTGGGTACATGGACATGGTCGGATGTGGCCAATCTGATTCTGGGCACGCAATGTGGCCGTAAATGATCTTAATTTTGAAATGTCATGTGATTTGATGCGTCACATGAGAGGATTTCGCTCAAGTCACTTCTTGGGAGCACACGGAACATATCCGGATGTAGCCAATGAGATTCTGGGCACTCGATATGACTATCTTTAAACTTGATTTTGAATTGTTATGTGATTTATTGTTCAATTTTCATGTCATTAATGTGAGTTTCGATCACTTTCCCTGGGCACCCGGAACACGTTCGCATATGGCCATTGTGGTCTTGGGTACGCAATATGAATATAATTCAACTTGTTTTTGAAAGCTCATGTGATTTGAAGTGTCGGTTTTCCAAGCGCTATGTATCTTCTTTGGAAGAAGAGTAAAACATAGGCTTTTCAGTCTACTTGGGACTAAAATGGGTTCAACATAAAAACACAATTTCTTGCACACGATTTTGTCTGAATTACCTAGCTACTAAAGTGTGTTCAGTGTGACTATCAATTTTTATTTATTGTTGCACTAACGTTTAAGTTGTTCACTTACATGCCTTTCACGCTATAGATCACGTATTCAAATCTCATCCCCGCACAAGTCACATAATCCCATAATCGCATATCAGCCCCATCTTTGCTTGGTTTCTTATCCATAAGGGACCGTTATACGATTATGGGCAGTATAACACACACACACACACCAACATAACTTAATATACATTGCTGACGAAAACTCCGTTTAATTATTTGATAAATGTATGGTAGTTTATACTAAATACTGTTACGTTTGGTCGTTATTTTTCTTTGTTGTTTGTTCATTACAGTTTCTTTTTTTATAATTACTTTCTTCATACCGCCAACAATCGTCCCATCTCTCTACCTTCCTAACTCCTCCTTAGCAGGACTTCGAGCAAACCGATATCGTTATATGCAAGCGTGTATTTTTCAAAGCAAATTTCCAGCTTAAATCAATGTGTACCTACTGATCTATTCTTATCGCATTTTCAGAATCACATTTTTTTCCGACTCCGAATACGAAGTTAAAACTATAAAAATCGCAACTCTCTCGGTGTTGCCTTCAAATGACTGTATTATATTAATTGGTTGTATTTTGTTTTTCTACCCTCTTTTTCATTCGTGCAAAATTCCAATAGCTGCCAACGTACCATATCCGAGACCGAATGTGCTGATGCCGAGGGATCCCCACTCGGAGGTCCTCTTACGCATGTCCTATGATCCACTGCAGGTAAGGTTCCCAGGATGGCCGCAGTAGGTCCAAATCCACATCGAAAATTCTCAACCACAAACCAATCTCATCGACCATTTAAAAATACCCTAACTTAAACGATATGGAAGAGTTTTTAAATTATAAACAATACCAAAACAGGAGCGATGAGTTGGATAATCATCAACCGATCACTGTGATGAAGCAACAACCCCCTTTATATCTATATCTGTCTGTTTATCCCCTCTCTCTACTATGTATGTTTCATTCGACACCGCGCAATCACGACTACGACACTGCCACCACTACCAGCAGGCCGCTGAGTTCCAACGTCAAAATGCGTTAGATCGTGCCCACTCGCTGCATGAGCAGTATCTTAGGTATTTGAAACTTTTTGATTGTTTTACCTTTCTGTATTTTCGTTGATTTGAGCTTTTCTTGAGACAAAGTGTTTTACTTTTATGTTTCCGTTCGTTGGTTAAGATGTTCGTCTTGATCCGAACTAGTTTCTACACTTTGTTTTGCTAGAATCGAAGCTCTGAGAATGTTAGATTGAACTTTTTCACTAATGATACTCCCTTGAATACAACTTTTAGACAACACGAGCGGGAAATGAAAGTAAGAGCATTGGAAGACGCGGCACGTGGCGGTAAACCAATGTAGGTGAGACATTGCACACTGTAGACTGTAGAGCAAGAAGAAGAGAGTTAGAACAAAGACAGAGACGGGCGGGCACAGGAGTCGACTAGGTTATGAAAAGTATTTTCTTATGTGTGTGAGTTAGTTCGATGTACATATTTGAAAGGAGGACGAAGGGAACCAGTCAGTGTAGTGTGAAGCAGATCTCGAGACAACCGTTTATGCACAAGTTGAATTTATATCGGTTAGATGTCGACATAATTATTTATTTAAAGAAAACTGGCAGCACTGGACACTTGGATGCATTTCACGTCGACCAGAGTCCTTAGGTAAGGAAGAAGAAACGTTCAGTTCGTAGTAAATTTTGTTTCACCGTTTGACTTATTTTTTATATTGGTCAACAGAACCTGCACAGTGGGTAGTGGTTGATGCAAAGATGTCTGTAATCTAAGTTCACTCATTTCAATTGTTTGTCTCAACTGTTTATGCCGACATTTAAAAAAAATATCAAGTTGTTGTGATTAATCAGAAAAATTGATTCCATTGTTCATAATTTCACATGAATTGTCAGGACTATTTACCAAATATTTAATTTTGACCAGCTTTTGTTTCCGCAACGGTCACCCACTGTGCGTTGTAACACTTAAAGGAAAAATGAATCTAAATCAAAGATTAAAAAAATATCCCAACTGTATTCAGCAAACACTATCGTGTTTGAAGCAGTCTTACATTTCCATCACTGCAGAAATGATCATTTACATATTCAACAACCATAAGTTGAACAAAAATGGAAAAATAAACGAACAAAAAATCATTTGTATGACTGTATAGACGAAAACAATGGTAGATAGTAAGTAGATCCGTATATATATATATATTTTATATTTATGACTACAAACGGTAACGGTCTTTCCTTCCGATTGAACCGACACGAATTGTGGAGAACTGCCACTCTTTCTCCAATTCACACGAAAATCTGGCAACCCAGTCTGCTGACCAGAAAACAGCAGTCGGTAGCGCATTATTCAAAACTAAAAAATTGCTTCTAATTTTAAGCCAAAAATCAATTTTCGAAATCTTCTAAGTGTCTATATTCGTATGTCGTTTGAACAAAAAAAAAACGAAAATGAAAATTTGTGTAAAAATGTAGGAAGTTACTTTTTTCTTGCTTTCTTTTGTGTTCGCGCAAAGACAAAACAAAAATTAGCTGGGAAAACCTATTCCCAACTACTAGAAGTATTCAACTGAACATACACAGAACTGCTAGAACGTCGCTTTTGTGCTAATCACGTGGAGCTCCGCTCGGATTGGTACTTACCATGATACTACCTTAGTTTACAACACTTTTTTTTTATTAAAAAAAAGCTATTCAACTGCATTTTGATTTACAAGAAAACTGAAACTTAGCAAAAACCGATAAAGTTTGATTGTTTAACATATTTTATGAACAAAATACCATACAAAACAAACAGAAATGAAGAAAAAAAAACTAGTTGCCTGAACTCTGTTGTTTTGAGTTCACACTTATTGACATTTTTTAGCGATTATATTTACATACACACACACACACAAACAAATGTAGGAGGGCAATGCATTAATCGTAACTCTTTGGTAGACTAAAACTGTTTAATTCTCGCGCAACATTTGAAAGGGGGCTATCAACTTTTGTAAACGAAACTTGTGAGACCCTTCCCGCGCGAACTGAAGTATGCCCACGCAAACCACGCAGAACACTATCGGGAAGCGGAGAAGTTCCCCTACCCGATGGCGTTTGTTTGCATAGGTGAGCTTCGATTCGCGCGGAAAGGGTCTTACAAGTTTTGTTTACAAAAACTGATAGACTCTTTTCAAATGTTACGCCAGGATTGGTAAAAAAAGCAAGCAAGGAGGGGTGAAAGCTTTCACCGACAGAGCCAACCCCTCCGAAACAACAACCAGTAAGAACAAGAACACGTGTACAACTTTAGTGACAAGTATGATTAATAACCGTTTGACAAGCAGAAACTAAACAAAAAAAAAATAAAAAAAAATGCAAAAGTGCAAATTTGCAACAGGAAAGGAGATGACAGTATGAATAAACAAAAAAGGTATATTATTGATCAATAAGTATCTGATAACAAAGCAAAACAAGTAAACAATTATTTAGTGAATAAAGGGATAAACACAGAATCATTGATCTTATATTAAAGCAAAACATATTTAATTATGTATTAGTAATTATATTGATAAAAAGTATAATAATGGAAAAGAAATCAACACACACAATTAAAGTGAAAATATAAGAATAGTGATGATAAATATACGAGTAAACAAACTATTGAAAAAAAAGATTCTTTATAATTTGTCTTTTGGATACTAGTTTTGAAGAAGTAGTTAATATCTGAATTGGAATCTTGTAATTGTAATCTATCGTAAAATGAAAAATTTATAGAATCAATGGGTTCAATTGTATTTCTGAGCATGAGCATGGGCATGATTGACCGCCCACGGTTGCTACTCTGTTATTGCCAGACCAGCTATCATTACACAGAGAACCAATAGACGATGCTTGGGACTAGCAATCATCCTCAATGTGTAAAAACTGGTGATCTCAAACTAGGCAATACCAGCGCCGGCCGCGCCCGAACACAGGTCAAGAAAGGAACGGGTAGGAATGTGTTGACGTGACACTCGCTTTGATGGAAGCCGAGAACACCTCTGCACTTCCACGAGGAATAACTGGGATATTGGGTAATAGGGTTGGGTTTGCAGCAGGGTTCGTTTTGGTAAACGATAAGCTGAATTGATGTCCTAACAATCATATAACGCGAAGGAGCTTGGGATTGAACCCACGGTCTTCTGCTCAGTAAGCAAAAACGTTTGCCACTAGGCAGACGAGCTCCTTTTTAATCATCGAGTTGCTGTTATTACCATGTAGTCATGTTAACAAGGGTCTGTTCATAAACTACGTAGACAGTTTTTTGAGATTCTTGACCCCCCCCCCCTCCCCCTGCGTAGACAATTGTCCATACAAAAAATTTAAAATTTGTATGGGCCGTGGATAATTCTCAACCCCCCCCCCCCTAAACTGTCTACGTAGTTTATGAACAGCCCCCAAATAAAACGATTGACGAATCTTGAATGTGGATGGGCTTGAGATTAGACTCATGATGTTCTGCCCAGTAAGCAAAACCGGTTGCTCTAAGGCCACCGAGCCCCTCATTATAGCGTTACTCAAGTTTTTATGACTATTCAGACCCGGCACCGACGACAACGAAAAGTTTTACGAAATATACGATAAACAAGCGATCTAACCATACATTTTTAATATGAAAGGATCTGGGATCGCGTTTTTCGGCTCAGTAAGCAAGCCACTGTAACCGACGATCTTTGAAATCCTTAAACTAAAAGCTATGAAAGAGGCCTTTATTAAGATCCATTTTCTCTTTAGTTTCGATTTTCATTTTACGCATGGTTCAGGTAATCATAACAAGCTATGACCGACGTGACGATTTTTTAAGACCTGGTTGAACAAGCTATTCAAATGAAATTACGTTCTCGAATTTTACTTGGCATGTAATGAACAACAGAAATACGCGATAATTCATATTTTCAGCGGTTGGTGGTTAATTTTAAATATACTAACGGTACTGCCTACGACTACGACGGCGATTACGACAGGGACTACGACGGCGCATACGACAACGACAACAGCGAATTTGTAACTTCTCGAGCAAAGTCGGTTAACAAAATGAAAGCAAATCGATATTAAAGATTGCAGTTCCTATCATAATGAATACTCATTTTGATTACAATTGTCACGACATTAGTCTGATATCATATTGTGCTTTCATTATGCAGTCAAGACATTTTAAATGAAAGCAACTTAACTTGAAGTTCTGCTGTTAACGTCTTGTTTAAAATTTAAGTTAAGCTTATCTGTCGTTGAACTAACGATTATTGTTTAATTGTTTTGTTTAACACATTTTAGGTCATTCGTAACCAACCCGAGGTGACATTTGGGCTCAAGTCTTTCAGCGTGAGAAGCTTTTATGCTAACCATTTACATCAGGCCCGTATTCAGTCAAACATTATGAATGCAAAATCAGTAATCAAATTGATTTCATTGAAGGCAGGATTAGTTTTCCGTTTGATTCAACAGTGTAAAATGTTGCTCTCATTTTTTATGTGTTAACCGTTAAGTCAACCAAAATGAGATCAAATGGAGTATTCAAAATAAGTTACATCATAACAGTAAATTCTGATTTCAATTTGATCTCTAACTTTGCTCGGGTTACCATTTGTCTAGGATAAACACCTTTGCCCGGCACCTCCACTGGTTCTTCATGTCCGCTATCTGTCACTGTTTGCAAAATATCTAATAGCAATTACCTTCCAATACCAATACTTCCTGTATTGCCATGGTCATCTGGGAGGAGGGTCGCATGAAGTGCTTTCCCCAGGAACCGTTCACGGCCACCAGCTACTGCCCGTCCAGTCTTGGGCGTATCCAGCGAGGCATCCTTCAGATTACTTACAATCTCCGACACTCAATGCAATGCAAATCGCAGGCACACTTACGCTAGTTACAAAAAAAAACAAACCCGTGCAAAGAAACGGACCAAATAAAAGTCACTCTCGCGAAAGCACACCCGTCGTCGTCGAACGGCAAAAAAAAAAGGAATCGGTGGGCAATTTTGTGATACGGATTTCCAAAATCAACCGGGAATGCACGAATTTCACCACACCCAACTACGAAACACGTTCAGAAGCACTTTTGGTACACTTTCGTTCGAAAACACTTAAATTTTTTTCAAAAATAGTTGCGAGTGAACCAACATCATCACCGCGTAAATAAACTAAAATTAAAATTATCGCTCGCCATGCCACAAATTTCTGGACCGGGAGAAAAAATCAAACAACGCAGATAGCGTCAAATCTTCTGTTGCTTCCCAAATTAACTGCAACATTTAGGACAGCAAAATACGTCAGAGACGCAAAAGGTTAATTTTCAAGTCAGAACTTACAGCGCACTTCTCAGGGGTTGTTCATAAACTACCCAATGGGTTCAATTGTATTTCTGTTCGAGTAAATAATACATTTTTGACCCTTCCTATACTGCCTAGAATCGCATATCAGTCCCATATGGATTTTCGTCAATTTTGAGATAACAACGTTATCCTTGATAGGCATCTACTTTCATATTATGTGATTAAACTATGGATTTTAATCATAGAAAATGTGAAAACAACATCAGGTCAGTTTGTTAGCAAAATAATCGCATATCAGTCCCATCCTGAAATTCAATCGCCCATAGTTCAAGTTAAAGGTCTGCTCTTTGAATTGCCATATTTTTCGCTGATATAACAAAACATGCAAGCCTCATTACCACAGATTTTCACTTGAAAAACCTATCAATTAATTTAGTATTATTTATCAATTATTTACATGGGAATTGCACTTCGTAACTTCGGATGCCATTTTCTCAATGCCTACTTTTTCCATATGTGACTGATATGGGATTATAGGCAGTATAGTAGCTCTAGAGTGCCACGTTTCTAGATTAATTAATCATCGGTATTTTTCATATTCCATTCAATATTTTCAGTCAACTCTGCCTTACTCGTTTATTTTCCCTATCAAATGTCAGGTACTCTATGGTGATGTCTGTGAAAGGAATATCTTGGTATATTGATTGTCCCCTGTTTAATAACAACTCTCACAAAACACTTTATATCCAACCGATGTGACTTCTGGTGGAAAATAAATGCTAAAAGCTTGACTAATACGGAATTTGGTTTTTGTTCAGTTTCAACCTGGATCGGGTATCGAGCTTGGGTTTGCATGATTTCTGTCAAACTTGGCTTCTCGCCGCCATCTTGAAAAAACTTTCGCAATGTTACAGATTTAAGAATGTTACCCCAACAAATCATTTTTATATGGGAGACAGTGTTGGAAAAATATCGAAAAATTTCACCAAAGATCAAGATCACGCTTGATTTTCGTACACAATAATTAACAAGCAACAACTGCGGTTGATATCATTCGACAGCCATTACTCGTATTCATCGGCCACAAGCCACTGTTATGAATCACATGGCAAAGTACGGGACAGTGATTTCCAGTCGACATGAGAAATTGAAGCACTACTTCCCAGGATTCCTGAGCGGTGTTCGAGTTTTGCGAATGCGATTCGAAAGCGCCATTCCATCATACATCACGGTCGACAACGAAACAACGTTGGTAACGTACGACAAGCAACCAAAAACGTGCCGCCATTGTGGCCGAGCAGCACATCCCAAACAGAAATGTTTGGATGTAGCCACATCGAACAATAGCACCGCTCCAGCAGCTCCACCAACCGAGGCCCAAGCTGCACTCGTCCGTCAAAATAAGTTGCTGAAACTTGGTTGTGACTGAAATAAGTTGCAAACAAGTAGTCACAACTGTTCAGTGACAAGTGTGCTGCTCGAGGGGGGTATTCAGTCTCGCTGAAGAACAACAGCGAAACACCGACAATCAAACCGAGGATCATCACACTTCAAACGTTGGAAGCAACGACGAAAACTCTAGTACCAGCTCATCAAACACAACAAAGGATTTCATTGAAAATACCAACAAACGCCGGCTGTCGTTCAAAATATGCTTTTTTG